TGTACAAATTATGAAATTGGAATTAGTACCTGGATTAGCACAACAACAGCAACTTAAGTGGAATGTACAATGGTGTTTAAGGATTCCTCCTTCTGGAACACCAATTGTACCTACTGGTATGGCTGCAGTACTAGTTTGCAGAAATAAAATTCTTTTCTTTGTAAGTACATTTAATAACTTTTCTTGAAATCGAAATATAGTATTATAGATTAAAAATTGCTATTATTAATTTATTATACTATAATTATATTACTTGTTATCAATGTATGTTATAGTTACAAATAACAAGAATTGGATTGCCATATCAAGGCGAGACACCATCATTAGTTTTACCATTAGTTTATGATGTTAATACAAATGTAACACAATTAGCAGAAAAAAGGGATCCAAGTCCAGCTTCTGCAATGGCAGCAGCATCTTTACAATTAAAGAGATTTGCCGAATATGGTGCAAATCAGTCTGAGTGTTCTCTCTTTCCTGCAGTGAGAGATTTACTAGCTAACTTAACTCTTCCTTCAGAACCTCCAGTTATGTCTCAGGTAAGCAGATCATTTTATAATCTTTAAATTTCCAAAGTATTAAGCTTGGATTTCTGCAATCATGCAATTAATTTACAAACACTTGTGAGTGGTTGATAAAAACCTATGATGAATGTAACACTCATTGTTTGTAAGTATTTTTAAGGGTGAAATTAGTATTCATTAATTGATGGACATGAGGCAGTTGCTCCTCATTTAAAGATAAATAATCAAAAACTATTTATGTGTAAACTTGTAATATTGATTTCAGTTTTTGAAACAATTTTAAAAAACTATTTTCTATGATAGTTATAAAGAACTGAAACTGTGAAGATATTGGCTTTGGTTATGATTTTAATATCTAGTCATCATATCAGTTCTATGTGTGTTTCACTTTGTTATGTAATATAGACATAATAAAAATATAACATTCTATATATTTGTAGTAAAAGTATGAATTCTGCATACTATTGTTAATAGAATAATAATATTAACACTTTGCTGACTGGTCACGAGTATATTTGTGTTCTTACGTCAGAACACTAAGACAGACCATCAACGAGTATTATATATTATTATATTATTAAATATATGTGATAAATGCCATTTCAATGCATGATATATAAATGAAGTATATTAAAGTTTATTTCGATGCTTTTATCTTAGATTAAAATGCATAAAATTTTCCTGCCACAAGGATCGAGTTTGACTCGAAATTGCCGGTCAGTAAAGTGTTAAAAATAACTATACTTTGGTATACACATTAATATTTCTGTATTGATCTCTTTCTTTAAGTAGATATTTAATAATGTTTTATTCTGTTTGTATACCAATTTATTTCAGTAAAATTAGAAGATCAAATTTAAATAGAAATACACTTAATATTTATATTAAATTTTTTGTAGGTATACAAGATGTTTCCTATTTTCCTCCAGAAATTGTAAGAGCATAATCTGCAAGTTGAAATAAGACAAATTATTACATGAAATTTTTTCTGTAAATATTTTATCTTTGAATGCAGCTTGAAATATGTATTTATTTTTTTCTAACAATATATAAAGAATTAATACATTGATTTCATAATTCAGTTGCATTGCTTGTAAAATTCTTAAGAAATTTGGACTTCAAATTTATTGCAGTCGATATCCATTATGAACATAATATAATGCAATTGATTTCAAACCTGTATCAATATATAAATACAATATTTTGAAATGGAAATATAAACATTTAAAATGATTGATAATCGTATGATAAACTACGCAATGAAACATTCATAACAAAACTTCATATATCTTTTTTTATTTTTATATATAGATTATGCTCTTATGGGAAAAAATACATCGGTAAAAGTAGAAAATATCTTAAAATTATTGTAGGCACATTTATTTATAAAATTATTTTTGATAGTTATTTTGTAAAAACAACTAAACATAAGAAAATATGTTTATAATTTGTATCATACAATGCTGAACAAAAGTATTAACATAGTATGATTGTTATGATATAAATGCTTATAGCTATTAAAAATAATAGTTTGAAGAAAAATGTATAACATGTTTAACATATTTATATTTACTACCTATCCTAGTTTATTATGTAATAAATAGCCATTAGTTATATGAAATAATATGCAAAATAATAACAATATGTTTTTGAAGTATTTTATAAAAGAACAATAGTTTTAAAACAAAAATATAATGAACAATGTATCATTAACTTTTCATGTTTTCTATATTTTATTTATAAATAGTTGTAGTGAATTGTCTGTTAGTTTTAGTTATTGGAACATATGTCAACTGAATTAAAAAATAAATCAAGAAACATAAGAATACAATGATAAATACATATAACAATAAATAAAAAACTAAAATTGATTTAAAAAATCTTCTCTTGTAAGAATAGAACACTATTGTATTCTTAATATATAAAAGATTTACTCCATTCAGTGAACAGAAATTTAAAAGAAGTTCTGAAAGGAAAGGACTATTGATAAAATATTAAAACTATTAATAATTAGTTACAATTAATATTACTATGCCAATACTTTTGTTTATAAAATGTTTTAAGAACATATCTTTGTTATTATTTTGTGAATAGTTTTATTTATATTATGAATTTTTGTCTATATAATAAACTAGAATGAGTAATAAATAAATATATTCAACAATTTTTTCTTCAAATCTCTTTTTTTAATAACTTTGAGTATCTATATTATAAGACTCATTTTGTTCAGCATTGTATGTATTTTCATTTAATTTTTATATACAGTTTATTTTATTATATTGTAGCATGTAAAGTAAAAAACAGTAATACCAATGATAATAAGTTTCTTTTAATAACCATTAATTGTATGATTGTATGATTGAAAATCTATAGGTAGTTCCTTCACCAGCTGGTGGACAGGTAACACCAACACAACAGATACAAAGTCCTGCAATGCAATTGCATTCTCCCATGGCTGGAAATCAAGGTCCACCACAGGCACCATATGGAATTCAAGGTATGCCTCCAATGGGCATAATGGGTGGACCACCACAATAGGACATGCTTTACTCTCCTAACCCCCTCAGTTTACCGAATCAGTCGACCTGGATCAATTAAACCGAATTGTAATGTCCGTTTTATGAATGTATAGTTCTCTTTAATTTTTTAATACAACGGACCATTACGGGGAATTGTAGGAGAGTTGTTACATAGAGAAAGCTTATTTTGTAGAAACTCTTATTGTAAACTGTAGTTGTAAAAAGAAATTAATGATGAAACACTGTTTATAAGAACTTATATTCATTACAGAAACAGTGTTAATATTAGATTTGAGGATAGACGGACCAAATTTCATTTTTAAATAATTTAATAAATCAATGCAATTTGTTTTCAATAAATTCCATCTATCCTTTAATGATCTTATATCTTTATGTAATTATACATTATTATACTCAGGACATCGACTACAAGGAAAATTGTATTGTAAATCTTTTTATAGTACAAATCTCTCCCTACATTGAAAGATAAACTATCACAATATTAAACATTTTATAATGGTTTATTTGTTTTTTATGAAAGATTCAATCATTATGTTTTTCTATATTTAGACAATTATAACATTTTTCAATTTAGTAAATTATGGAACAAAATAATTATGGCAACTAAAACATTCTTTCTATTATAAAACAGTGACTGTGATACTAGTTCAAATATAGGATTAATGAACTTTATAATTAGACTATACAATAATAATTTAAGATTATTCATGTAATAAATATAATTCTTATATGTAATTTAAAGTTAAATTATCTTAATATGTTTGTAATTATATATTCTCTCCACTATACAAGCACCTTTAATAATGATATCATAACAGTATCTTTGGTGCTGTTTAAAACTGTAAAAATTTTAACAAAATCATGACTGTATGATTAAACGTTTTTAATGAAAACAATATCAAAGTTTTTAAGGTTATTTACTCAGTAAACGTATTTATTGATACCATCTTATATCTAAAACAAATTCAATAATATATAATAACATATTGTTTTCATCATAATATGATCTTTTTTAGCAGCATATAAAATGTTCATTGTAAAATTTCATTTCTAAATAGTTCTTTCTTAAATTATACTTATAAAACAACCGAATTACGTTTAGAAACTGGAATTGTAATATTATTAAATCTTCAAGAATAAGATAGTGTATTGATTATTTGAATAAACATGTTTTATATTTTTATTCAATTTAAAAATATTTACAGTAACATATTAATTATACATCATTAAAAAAATAATGTTATTATAAATTATTAAATGCGTTTTTTTTTATATAACTTTTGAAACATTTGTATGGAATTTTATAAGAATCGCAAGGTGATTTTTTCTTTAATTACTGTTAATTACTTGTTTAATAAAACATGATTACATGTTACTAATAAAATATCCTCTGGTTGATAATTCGTAGAAAAGTATATATTTTTTTATAAAATTAAAAGGAGTTAGGAAAAAATTTTCAAATTTACAAAGAATACAAAATCTTTATCACGATTCTTGTACATTATACATTTACATTACATTATAATGTAAAATATACATTATAAAACATTACAAATTTTCGTTATACATTTTGTTATTTTATAAACAGGGAGATTATAATATGTGTTATCTATACATATTAATGTAATATAATAGTAAATACAACTTAATAAAATAATGCAGTACAATATTTTGTGTTAATTATGTTAAATATATATATACAAAGTAGTTCAACGCAAGCATATGTAACTTTTTCTATAAAGTCTTGCTTGTAAACTGTTTATTTGGTTTTGTACTGGTTTGTTTTAAAAAGTGAACAATTTTTTATTAAATAGATTAATATTTTAATTATATTGTTAACTAAATTATTAAGCACTCTGTTTGAAAAAATAGAACAATTTCATTTAGAAATCTTATATATCTTTTTAGTTATCACTCTAATTAAAATTTATGCGTTTGAATCATTATAAAACATTTATAAACAAATATTTCATTATTATTTAATAAACATTTTCAATTTCATGAATATCTTTAAAAAAGTACTAAAATATATAGTACTAAAATAGATGATGAATAAATGTCCTGGGCTAGTTTCAAGTTAGTTTAAGCCAATGGTTCACTTCTGTGAAGGAAGAAGCCAAGAAGGTATGAAGAGCTCGCTGTTAGTGTATGTGGTCAACAGCAGCACCAACAAGTTAAAACTGTAAACGAAAATGTTTTGTGCGCGATATGAACTGACAAATGATTGCGTGAACTGCTCCAGTTCGTTACAATTAGACTATCCGAAAAAATAGTTAGAATACAAAAAATGTTTTAATAAACTATTATATATGTGTACAAGATCTACTTCATGAATAAGTTTACTTTTTGTCAATTAATAACTTTACTTATATACGACCTTACAAATAACAAAAATATATTTTCGACATAATATTATTGCAGTTATTAAAATTAATTGATTAATTACAAACTTTAATAATAGATATATAGCAACTCAAATAAGGTAAACAAACATTTTAATTCTTCTTTCAATATTTATTCTTTTCAATTTGTTCAATATTTATAGTAATACTGATAATTTAATTAATATAAAAATAATTTTCTTTTCCTTTCAATTTAAACAGAACTCGATGTGGTCGAAATAGGGTTAATTAAAAACAATTTGAAAATAAAATGCTTAACTTTTTAAGTCTTACGTGATAATATAAATACAACATTTTCATTGTTGTTCACCAAGCCTGTTTCGACGATACGTCGATGCAAGCTAAAAGAATGTTTTTATTTTAATCTCCTAAAGAAATACTTAAAAATTTCTTTAAATGTTTTTTAATGCAAAAGAGGATATATTTTAATTATTATCTTGAACTTTATATTAGATACTTTAATCAGATATTTCTGTGAAAAAATTCTTTGTATCACTTAAGTGGCGTCAGTGAGAAGTGCAAGCCTACCGTGTTGTGGTCGCCAGTAACAGCATGCCAAATACAGAGCTAAAATAATAACCAGGATTTCGACAAATGCTAATCCAGCCGCAACGCCGATTACTATTGCTGCATTTTCTTCAATTATATGTATTATTGCACCATAACAACCCTAAAATATTTGTATAGTTTTTAGTTGTTCTTTTATATATTTCGAATGATTCTTATACTAAATTAATTGTAAATTTATTGATTTAAATTAAATTAAATTAAATTAAATCATTTTTTTACCTTCTCATAGTAAGAATTATTGGAAGTGGGACTGATAGGGCAAGATGGATCCTTTAAAATATCGTTCTCTCTTATACAACATGCTTCAGGTACAATTTTATCTGTAGTTGTCCAGTTTGCACTCTCTCGAAAGTCCAAATAATTTTCTACTCCACAACAATGAAGCTGAATCCATGAAATATATTTCTTTAAATATTTATTAATTGCAAATTTAATTAACAAAATTTATTCAATTATAAATTTTTAATAACCTGTGTCATTATACCATTCCATGTTACTGTAATTGTTTCTGTTTTATCAATATTACTGGCATAGTATTTGATCGTAGATTTAAGAAAATCTCGTGTACTTTGCTCTGCCTGGAAAAATAACAAATAAGTAATATCAGTTTTTATTACAAATTAGAATTTACATTATCATAAACTATGATACAAGAGAAAAACTCACATCTCTTTTAAGACCAAAAGCCAAACCTACTACAACACATTCCAGGATCAAAACCAGGAGAATAAGAACACCGTACTATAATTAAAAATTCAGTTGTATCGTGTTTCATCAAAATTTTATTTTTTATCTATAAAAACACTTACAACGCAAAGAAGACAGCGAGATTCAAACATTGCTCCACAGTATCCTAGAAAGCTAACCAGAAAGGTCAATGCTCCTACTATAATCAGGATATATGAAATTATCCTGATGACATTTGTATCCGTTTTGTTCTACAACAGAGTAAATCAATTTAATTTGACAATCAATGCACTACCATATTATTATTCTATTACAACAATTTTTCTAACACTTTTGTTTTGCTTAAGTTTATTTCAAGATGAAATATTGTTATTATATATTTTATACATATAAATGTATCTTATACATATAAAGATACATACCACCTGGTTAAAATAAAATAGAATTTTAAATATAAAATGCCATCAATAATATATTCTCTGTAAGTATGAAGGATACATAAAACAATTTTTAATTACACAAAAAAAAGTTATTCCAAAGATATCGCAGTATTTCATACCCCATTTTGTATACAACAGTGTAAGTAAATTTCAAATTAATTTTTTTTATCATACAATATATTTTTCAATTAAATTTATATATCATTTTAGTGAACTCAATTTTGGAGTAGATTTCATTTTTATGCACAACAACATATACATTAGAATAATTATTGTATTTAGACTTACTTTACTAAAAATTAATTAAGCTTATCATAATAGTACATTGAACATTCTATCGTTATTCTACCTTGAAAATTAGTATGTAATTAAATTTAATACATATTGTGTTTTTATTGCATATAATACATATTCTCATACACATATATTTTTAGTTTCTTCTTTTATATATTCTATAAACTGTTGATATGTATTTTTCCTAAAATACTAAGTAGCTACTTTTTTTATTTTGAAATATTAGTTGCAGACCTATTTAAATTAAACCCATTTAACATTAAGAATAATATATATATATTTAATGTTATTATGTTATTAACATACCATATTAACGTACAATTTAAAAAAAAATAGTCACTAAAAAACATAGTTACTTGCCTTAAATCATTCTAAAATATATATTTCAGTCTTTTGTTTATTTAAAATAACTTTATATACTATATATGTTTCATGGTAAATGCGAAGAAATGAAAACGAAAATCTGTGTGATAAGAGCTTGCGAATAGAAAGTGCCGGATATATTCTTCTCGCTAGTTAACTAATTGGCAACGCTTTCGTATTGCAATCAACGAAGCGTGAATCTCTTAAAAAATCCTTTTACCACTAAATAATTGTTGATCGTTTTTTCAAAATTGTTCAATACGAAAAACAATTTATGGCTTATTTACAATAACATAATTGAATGGTATTTTTGTTTCCAAAAATTAGTACGATTGCTGTACTTTTATTTATGAAAATTAAAACAATTTCTATTTTTTTGTTCATACAAAAGTTAGCCCGGTTAGCACATTTTATTTTAAGAATATTAAAACGTCTAATATATTTTTCTTTACAAAAATTAACGCTATTATTAATATTATATCTTTTTCTACAAAATTAGGACTCTATATCTTTGTTTATAAAAACTAGTATGACTTCTATACTTTTGTTTACAAAAGTTAGTCCTACAGGCTGTTAAAAAAGATAGGATATTTTATTGGTTTAAAAAAATTAAAACAACTATATTTTATTTTAGAAAAACTAGTAGAACGCTTATATTTCGGTTTACCAAAATTAGTATTATTACTATACCTTTATTTATAAAAATTAAAACGGTTAATATATATTTTTCTTTGTAAAAATTAGTATTTAGTATTATATTTTGGTCTATGAAAATTAAAGCGATTTTTATACTTGTTTTTTATAAGAATTAGTACTAGAACTGATACTATTATTAATTTATTTTAAAAAATTAGTACGGTTTTTATACCTTTGTTTATAAAACTCAGGATTTTTATATCTTTGTTCACAAACAATGATAAAATTACTATATCACGTGCGTTTGTTAAAATTAATACGAATACTATAATTTTCTTTACGAGAATTTGTACAAATACTATGGTCTAAAGCTTTCATTAATAGTTCAGTTAAAAACTTTCGTCTAAGCAGAAATGTTTCAAAATTTACCAGAATATCTGATTTGTCAAGTTTGCCGATGAGATCAGCAAAAGAATTGCTATCGGCAAAGAGCCAAACTCCTACTGCCAACGCAGCCCCTCCGGCTACCTATAAACAAACGAATAATTACTTCTTTAAGCGAATAAACCTTTGCTTAATTTTTCCCAATAGATAACAAACTTCTTTACACGCATTGTGAAAACTATTCCACTTGTTTTATTAGCGTTTATGTTTAGTTCTCCAATATTTTTAACGACTTATCAATAACAAAGTTATTTATACAGGGTGTCCCAGAAATAATAGTACAACTGAGGAGGGGGTGATTCTACATGAAAAAACAAATTAAAAATAAAAAATAAAATTTTTTCATTTGACGCTTTGTTGTCGAGGTAATCGACCTTGAATATCTATCGAATACGCTGGTTACTGATGGTCCATTCGCCTTAGCCAAAGTTAAGTGCACGCGTACTCGATGAATATTCAAAGTCAATTTTCTCGACAACGAAGCTTCGAATAAAAAAATTTTATTCTTTTTGTTCAATTCGTTTCTGCATGTGGAATCGCCCCTTCCCGGTTGTATTATCGTTGCTGGGATATTCTGTGCGTATATACATGTATTGATTCTAAGATATATATTTGATTGATATATATAAGAGATCGAGTAATCTTTAAAATAGAATACGTGAATGAAAATGCAATTGTATTTGTGATTTATTAAACTTCTTCTTTATACATATATATATAAAGAAAATATATATATATATATCTTTTTTAAATATTTTGAAATGTTTGAAAAAGAAAGTTAGTAAGACCAGTTAATATATCGCTAGTTTTTAAGTTTATTAAATTTACATAAAGTTATCTTGGCAATCTGCTGTTAAAAGATAATTTTGAAATATACGATAGAAAATACGAAGAAATATTTATTACATAATTTTCATTGTTTATCATTGCAAGTGACCATCGTTCAAATAATGCATCATTATTCTAAAATAAATTTTACTATATAGAAAGCGTTAATTCTTTCTCAAATAAGTTTCAAGATAGCGTAAGAATGAGATATTTGAATGAAAAATTCGCGTGAACGGTAGTCATATAAAAATATATACTTACGAAGAAAGCGAGATTGAAGAAACATAGGAAATACTTGGCACACCGTGAAGCACAGCCCATTTTGGCTTCGCGTTCACTGAGATGAATCTGTAACTGAACAAAGTCAATGTTGCTCAGTATTAAATACTCCCGCGTACTAAACTAACAATGCCATAACACATTCTATTTTAATAACAGTTCATAGATGAATGTTTGGCCGTGCAATCGATAAATCGATTCTCTTCTTGTCGTGTATTCTTTATAATATATTTCGATACGTTATCCGCGATAGGACCAAATTTGAGGAATAAACGTGAATGTACATACATCGGATGATACTTGAGGGAAAGTAAGCTTTTCAAAGAATTTATTCCTTTTTATCTTAAATATCTATCAGCTACGATCACCGCGATTAACGCTAGAACTACCAACTTGCAGTGTGCGATTAAACATAGCATACGTTGATAATAATAATCAAAATGGCAGGATAAAAATAAAAAGGCGTGTACTATTACGTTTTTATATTAATAAAAGTCTATATTAATTTTGTCAAAAACCAATTACAATGTTTCCGGTTAATCGTAATAATAGGAAGTCTAGGATTGCTTTTAATTTTACTGATCTGGTAATTCTAGTGCTAAACACGATGAGGAGCGTTCATTCAAAGGGAAAGAAAAATTGTACATTATCCGGAATGTCTTTTCGCGACGCCCCAGTTACTCAATTACGACGCATTTGTCGTTGAAATCATCGTAGGCGGGAAACAAAGAGCTGCGAAAATTGGTCGAATTAGGCCGAATTCCTGTTAATCAAGAATACGTCTTTTGTATTCATAGCCGAATGCAGCAACCAGCAAAGGACATTTTAATGCCTTCGATTTTATTATTCGCGATGGTCTCGTTTCGCGATAGAACAAAGAGATTCTAAGAAAATATCATTATTCAGGATACTATTAATGTATTAATGTATTAAAAGTTAATGGAATACCATAGATTGTTCATTGTGACAAATACGTTTACACGTGTCCCAGATATTTTAATTAGTTTGGCAATTTTAATACTTGTTACAAATTGTATAATGTATTTTTTATTGTTGTAACAAAAAGAGTATTTTTTATTTCAATATTATTATCAACGTTAGGCTAGTAGCCTTTTCTTTTTTAATCACTGGAAAGGTCTTTCTTCGTATCCTTCCTATCTTGTTAAATCTCTTTGAATTAATCTCAGGAAATTTCATTGTTTTCGAATTGTTTTAATATAAAATATTTGAGATACTGGCAATTTGTCTCTAGTATGTTTATTCGTTGTAATCGAATAAGTAATATTTTGATGATATTTCTCGAATATATATAATATATATATCAAATAGTAACTTCTAAGATACACAAATATTACGATGTTTCGATTGTTTCAATTATTATTTACAATACAAACACGATCAAAACAAGTATCAATTCTGTATAATTGTTAATAAGATACTAACATTAAAGATAATTACCCTATATACCGTATATATCTTAAAATTATCTATTATTTTATTTGTTTCCACTTTTCCATCGCTCCTTTTGTTATAGTATAGATTTAATGATATTTTACGTTATTTGTATACAGATTTATTTTAAATTTTAATAATATTTTTAATATAGACATTATCAAAATATTGCATAATATAAATTTAATAATTTAATATTTTAAAGTGTACAATCTTGTATGTATTATCTAGATAATATACACCAGTCGAAAAGCAAATTGATATTTAAAATTAAAATATTTCAATGGATATCTTAGAAGTTATATAACACATATGTATATGTACTGTGTTACAGTGATAAAACAATCGAGAATGATTTGCCAAATAAATATCGAACTATACATACGAGGCAAAATGTTATGCAAATATTGACTTGTTCGATAAATCTAAGTTTCGAAAACATCCGGATGTAAATATCCAGGAAGACATAGATTACAAAAGAAAAATACAAAGTTACGAAGGAAAATGTGCATGAAAAGGAAATGAAAGTGACAGCTATTTAAAAACAGGTTGAGAAGTAAGGAGGAGGTACAGGAACAAGAGTACTTTCATAGAAATGACGGTCTTAATACATGATTTAACAGAGTAATCGATGTAATCGATGTAATCGTAGAAGCGTGTAGATTGCATAAAAAAGCTCTGACTTTACTTGAACATCACTTACAGTGAATGTAAAGAATATTCGTATAATGACTAATCACGACTAAAATGCTGAATAATAATATTTATTAAACAATACTTTTTAAACAAACACGCTACACCTATTTGGGAAATAGGTATACCATGTTTGTTTAAAAAGTATTGTTTAATAAATATTATTATTCAGCATTTTAGTCGTGATTAGTCACTGTACGAATACTTTTTATATCCACTATGAATATTTTATAAATAATGCATCACGGTCGTGTGGATATCAATGATTTAATACCTATTCATGATTCATACAGTGACATTACAATGCAAATAATTCATATAATACAAAGCAGTTGTTTGCAACTGAAATTGTACACTCTATTTCTCATTATAGATATTCGTTATTAACAAACTCATCAAGTGTCAATTTATATTTATTAAAATAAAATGAAAAAGTGAGAAGAGAAAGTTGTATTTCCACTACACTTGTATTAAATTTATATTTTCTGCATATCTTTTATTAATTGACTACTTACATTCATAATGGATTCATATAAATATTCTTTTAAATAAGAAATAAACTAATATTTTAACTATAACAATATGCTATAAATGGAATTTTAATTATTTTATTCATCGATATATTTAACTTTCAATTGAAGGAAATATTACACGTTGATCGAAATTCTCATTGTTCCAAGTAATTTTTAATGGAAAATGGAAAAGGCAGCTATTACGTAAGTATAGTAGTTGCATGTGCCTGGAAGGAAAATTGATTCCAACGAGCCTTGAACATCCGAGACTTCGTGTGCCCTTGGATTTTCTCTTTACGCCAAGTAACAATTGACAATCCGGTTTTGTCTTCCGCCAACATCTCATAATCCTCGTACAGACAATACCGTCGCTCTATAATTTATATACCACGTTTCAAACGTATCATGCGAAATTTTAAAACGCTTAAAACGATCGTCGTCATTGCCAGCAAGAGTTTCGTTAGTTGTCTTTGTCTATACACATTGTCACAATTCTATTTATCTCGAGTTCCAATCGCTTCCGTTCTTTATTAACATTAGAACCACCGACTTGTACTCGAACACGTGTACTTAAACATAGCATGTGTACACGAATAATGGCAATTAAAGTGGCGCGATGAAAATGAATAGCTCTGTATAACGATGTTTCTATCTCAATAAAGATTGACATTAATTTTGCCAGAGACTTTTATTATTATTCGGACATCGAGTTATACGACGAATAATTACTGTTTTTTATTGTTTATAATTTCATTGTTGGATCATTTATTTCCTAATACAATAGTAGGACCTATTAAATGGGAATACTTAACTTTTATAGAAAATTACTATTTTGGTTATATTAACTCGGATTTATTAACCCTTTGCACTCGACGATTTTTTGGCCAAAGAAGGATAGGAGTTCAAAGATTTTCTGTTACAAGGCTGACGATATTTTTCTGAGCGGGAATAAGAAATCGCATGATAATTATCACGTAGAATTATTTGATTTCCATACCTCGCACACCGTTACAATATCTGAAATTTGACATATTTATGAATATCGAGCTTCGAAATTTTATCAAATGGCGACTGAAGGGCGCCTCTCGAGTGCAAAGGGTTAAGTGTCAAAATATTTTTGCGACGTTAAACTTTGACATAATTTAATTTGTTACTACGCAAAAAGCTATTTAAAATAAATAATTCGACAATAGAATTAGAAACAATAAAAGACAGTAATTATTTGTCAAATAACGCAATGTTCAGAATATTAATAAAAGCCACCGTATATGTTTTTAATAACTGTGAAAGCAAAAAGTCTAAAAACAAGTTATTTCGACTGGTTTCGTAGTTCTAGCATTAATATCCCGCTTTCCATGACCTTTTTTATTTCTTGGCTTTCGACTGCTTTTTACTTTATTTCGATTGCGTTTCTTCTCCAGAATTACTTTTTCGAATATTCGACCAGGACGAAAAGTAGAAATACTTTCCGCGGCGAAATCTACTGTTACGTTGGGAAAAATTGATCTCGTTAAATGTTATATACCTGACTGGTCGTATTAACAGCTATTTGTTCGGCATTTAATCTGTTTAATTTTAGCGGTTCAACGAGTTTGACAACTTTCGATGATGACGCAATAACGTACCCGCAAATGTATCGTATCCTCGTTGCATAATGCACACAAGTATGCAAGCTTAGAATGCACTTGCACGAGAAATCCAACGCTGTAACAGTCCTAACAATTTATCTACGAACCAACATTACCAATGGCTTTGTAGAATTTTCTTTTACATCTAGCCAAGTATTTCGAACTCTGTGACATTTAAATTTTTCGAGCATGAAATTTACACCAGGATCACATAAATCTTTCTTTCTTTCTTTGTCGATTGCGACGTGAGAAGACAATTTCACAATTTCTTTTTATCAAAATATAAGATGGACGTCTCTATGATTTTGTATAATCATATCTACGATACCATAATGGAAAATAATATCAAAATAATATCATATTATTTGCAATATGTACGCGAATATGAGATGTTATTAATACTAAGACTATCGTAATAATTGTTACTAACTTCCTATTAGTAAGTAAGTACTTATTATTCGATGTAATATGTAGCTAAATATATTACGAATGTATGACCAAGATATAGGGAACAAAAATTAGAATTAGTTTCGTCAGAAATAGCTAAACATTTTTGGTACGCGAAAAAATAAAATAACTGAAACTAGACATTTTGACTCGTTTAGTTTAGTAATTCCAGCGTTAAGGAAGGTACGCGTATGTGTTGCAGAAGAAATATAACGTATGCGAATGAGCCGTTAATAAATACAAGGGAAAAGCAGTCTTCTAAATAAGCGCAAACAGACTCGTCAATCATCGAATCTTGGTCAATCGTACCAGATCTTTCGTTTTCTCTTTGATACAA